CCGATTTTTGTTCACGGCCCATGTTCGTTCTCTGCTAACGCAAACTCACAGAACGATTGTCCCGTACATGCGTAGAAATCTTCGAAATCCTCAAAAGTTTCAGTTGTTAGAGAAATAAACGACTTCGATGTCCGAACATTGTGCTTTGAACATACATTTTTTATCGCACAAACGACGACCGCACTTGCACTGGAGGCGGCCATTTTGGAATCTAAAAATAGGTAAAATGGTGGCACGTGATGTGGTATGCGATCGCTGATTGGCTAAAAGACGCATCATCGACCACACGTTTCCAAACACCATCGGAAGTCGGGACGAGAGACAAAACGTCATCATCAAATAGCAATTTTTTTTTTTTTTTTTTAATTTAAACTGTGCAATAAATTAAAATCTTATATATGTTGAAAAAAAAATTAGGATCAGGACGTATTTTTAGGTAGGGTCGGGTTACCGGAAACACACCCTTTTTTTTTTCGGCCCAACGGGAAGCACCTGTATTTTTTTTTTTCATTGTGCAAGCGCCGTCGCCGTCAACGCTTAGCGTTATTCATACTCTTGTTACCTGTTTTTTCAAAACGTGCTCATTAGCAAAGACATGAATGGATCTCCCATACTCCGTTTCACTATGGGGCTAGCTCCATGGTTTCACAGAATGTGAAATTCGTCTTGTAATTACGGCACTGCCAGTTAAGCCTAATCTCACAACAGATTTACTTTCTGGATTAAAATTACAATGGATAACAAAATATAGATAAACATTGTAGATAACATAAACAATAGTGTCCCATGATTCTTTGGTGCAATCCCTGGGCATGGAAGGTTCCCTTTTAAAGCGTGGCGGTCGTCGTGCTGCCCATGTGCAACAGTTGTGTTTGTGATTTCCCCACAGTCTAATGCGCTCTTACAATAGAAATCACAAGTATGAGGTTTGACCTGGGCGCGACTTGCACTAATTACCACCCGTGACTCCTTTGATATCACCCAAAAAAGGCTAATTAAAGCCTAATTATTGACGACTACTACCCTTTAATTTCAATTGACCAATGTCCCTTTTGTGAAAAACCGATTTCACTGATTGTATAATGTGAATATGTTTATAGTATGAAGAACAAAATTAAATTTATCGTTGGAGCTCATAGATATGTTTTAGTTTATGTATAACTTTTATGGATTATGTTATTGTTATATTTAGATACAATGTATAGTGTTCAGCCAATCACATGGTTTACCGCTCAATTTTGTTTGTTACAATCTGTCACTTTTCTGGTTGTGCCACCATCATGTTATTTCTTAGTGTTCGGAATAAAACTATCGAATGGTTAACTAATTCGCATGTCTGAGTCATTTGCCTGAATCAATTGTATATAGATTGTGGCTAATTTGTCATAATTTTAAAAGGATGAGTACTGAAGTTAATAATTTTTTTCTCTAATTAATATTATTGTCTAATTTTTTCATTCAATAGGAATCTGCTTGATATGGATACATTTTCAAAGTCAGACCCAAGTAAGTTTTAAATTATGTTACGTTAATATTAGTAAATTCTTCTGAAGTAAAGCGTATTTCATCTCATACATGTATCATGTTACCAAAATACCTCACATACAACAAGTTCCAGTGTATGTTTACATGGTTTTCATAAAACCATTCAAATGATGTGTGAGCCATTGTTAAAGGCCCAGGTATACTATAAATACGCTCCTAAACAATAAGGATTATTTCCTTGCTTGTCACGCTGTAGTAAACAGCTCCAGCCAAGCTCCGGTAAAAACGTGTTTTCTCAAACTTACAGGTCGATTATGTCGTGCCAAAGTGGATGCATGTGACTATGAATATCACAGCAGTGACTGTGTGTAGTATTTATGACAATAAATTGTGTACGAGCTGAGATTTTGGCGGATAAAAGTAAAAAAACATAAACCGGGGAAAGGGATGCGCGACTAATCTTGAATAATTACTACTGTCAATCAAAGTCACGTGATGCTGGACCGCTGAAACAGGATGCGTCATAGGCTATGCAAGTGATTAACAACACTCATTAGAATAGCCACACCTCCAATTCACACTTGCCCGGGGCAAGTGAATTGGGCCTTTAAGGTAGACGCCTACTCATAAATTAAAAATACCCAGAATTTATTCATTTTGCAATAAATTGTACTTCAAGGACAATATTAGGATATTGACCTAAAAAAAGTTGGGGGTCACCAGCCTTTTTTTTCGAGAAATTGATGGTTGTATTTTAGTGGAAAGTCGCCATTTTGACACTATTATAACACTTTTACCATAGGTTCCTATGGCAGAGATATTATGCCATATATCAAAATCTAACCTGGTAACATAGGCTGAAAAAATTATATATTGTTAATGATGGAGTAGTTTTTGTTGTTCTGAATTATTTAAAAAATCTGGGTTCATATTCATAACATATTCTTTGTTCACACAACAGTATTCTATTGAAACCCAACAGCCCCCTCAAGCTGTTGTTGAACGACATTTTGTACAATGAATTCCTATGACTGGTGGATGTGCATGTATTTTTTATACACATGTTTTGACTGCATCACCCAACCCCACTCCACATTTGTTTCCAATACCTTGTGCTTTAGATTGAAAGGTGCACAGGTAGTTGTATGTATTTTGCAATATCAATCAACAAAATCAAACTACAAGTGAATGTTTTCACAACGTGTATTTTTTTTTTATTTCAGTGTGTGTTATGTTCATACAACCTATGGGAACTAAAAACTTTGTTGAGGTGAGTGGTTTGTAAATTATCTTCTTTCTGCACCTCTTTCTTGGTTTGTTTCACTTTTTATCATTTTTTTTTCTTAAATGAAACTCTAGCCTGACAAGTTCGCATGAGTTTCACTCCCCTCAACATTTTTTGTCACTACCTATCAAATTGCAGGAACGCAATAGATAGTGACAGCCATTGTAAAACACAATTTTAGTGAATGCTTTTGGTAAAAAATCCTATTTTTGACTATTCCTGAAAATATATATATTGCTTTGATATTTATATGTACACTCCTTGAAAATGGATTCACTAATTTCTGTAGTATTTCTTTCTCATTATATATCAACAGCAGAGCTATATCAGCTGACAGGCTGCTGGTCAATTCAAGAATTATTTTTGAGCCATATTTGAGTGTGTTTCAATGGAAATAATAAGTTCAACTTTTCATAGTATTATAATACTATGTGTCCTCTTGAAAATGTTGACTTTTAATCAAAAAGAGCTTGAAAAGGTGCATATCACGTTTATAGTACTAAATCACTTTTGAAATTCAGACAAGCAACAGCATTGTATGTACGTGTTTGTGATGTTCATTATAACTATATTATTTTAACTTGTTCCTTAGTTTGGCAGAACAGAGGTGATATGGGACAACCTTAATCCTGATTTTGTCACAAAATTTGTATTAGATTATTTCTTTGAAGAAAGACAAGAATTAAAATTTGAATTGTAAGTACAGTTTATACTATGTATATCATCGGCAAACAGATACTTTTACACTTATAGAATACATAATATTATAAATTTAAAGTAAATTTTCATGAATTGGCATATACATGGATACGATGACCTCATTCATAAAAATATTATTTTCACAGATATGATGTAGACTCAAAAAGCAAAGACTTAAGAAAGCATGTGAGTGTACTATTACAATAGTGTTGTATATTATGATGCATGAACACAATATTCATGGTTTTTAATGGCAATCAGAATTTTAATTGTACCATTTTTAGCTCTGCTGTTGACTTTGTCCAGGGGAGCTTATCATATGAGTGATTGTCCATGTTGTCGTCCGTTGTATATGTCAATGTTTTACTTTTTGACTTCTTCTTGAAAACTACAAGTCTGAATGTTTGGTGTATATGTACCTTGGGTAGACCTCTCTCAGATTTGTTCATTTTGTGATGATATCTTGAATTCTCTAATTTTGGTGAATATTTTAGTCATTTTTGGTAAAAAGTGATAAAGTTCGATTGCTTTGATATTACCTATATAGGTACCACATGTGGACCTCTCTCAGATTTGTTCATTTCGTGATGATATCTTTAATTTTCTAATTTTGATGAATATTGTCTTTGTGGCAGTGCAGGGAGGTCAGGAGAGACGGTGCAGGGAGGTCGGGAGAGGCGGTGTGCATCTCGGAGATACCGGGAGTGTGTGTGGCGGTGTCGGGAGAGATGGTGCAGGGAGATCAGGAGAGGCGATGTGCATCACGGAGATACAGGGAGTGTGTGTGGCGGTGCAGGGAGGTCATGAGAGAGACGGTGCAGGGAGGTTGGGAGAGGCGGTGTGTGCACCATGAAAATATCACACATGTAGCATTCTATATTAACTGTGTGTTTTATTTACATTGAATGTGTGTTATCACTGTGTTCATACATGTGCATTGTTTACTACAATTTGTCACTACACCAATCATATCGAACAAAATCTCATTTATTAAGCATTATTCAGGTCCACTTTCAGCGCAATGTAAAGTAATCTGTTTTGATTAGAAAACTTAGAATAAGATTGTATATGTTAATGACGGGTGTAAATCTATAATTATATATTTATACCCAGAATCCTTTGTAACAAATCTTTTTGATAATGGGTTAAATAACAATGTCACTGAGTCAGTAACGTTGATTAGAATTTCCCATTAATACAAATAAATAAATTCAAAAGTTTTGTTTTTGCAGTCTTTGAAGCATAAAATTCTAATGTGGAAAATGAATTAACAAACTTTTACTAGTATTTGAACACATTGAAGTATTGCTTGCTAATTTAAAAAACAACAACTTGAAATTGAAGTATGAGCCTGCTTCTCCGGAATTACTTTCATAATTAGACCACAAAAAAATTGTTTTATTTAGGAGGTAATTGTTTTTTTTAGAACAAAACATAACATTTTTGTTTTTGTGGTTGAATTATTAAAAGAGTTGTATCATCATTGGCAACAAGTTTGTAGAATTCAAATTGTCAATGGAGTTAAACCAAACTTATCACTATATAGTTTCTCATAATATGGGTGGTCCAACTAATAGAGGGGTCTTACTAATAAAAAGATTACAGGGATACATACGTATACTTAAATATCATGGAATAAATCTTACTAAAATACAAACAACCAAACAAAGACTAAAAGTATGACATCTAGCTTTGTTTTGACCATCAGGACTTTCTAGGTGCTGCAACTTGTGCCCTGGGTGCAATAGTTGGATCTAATGGGGGAAGGATGACTTTACCTCTCAGGTAAATGGAATGTTCCAATTACTTTCCCATCATGCAACATCTGACCTTATTGTTTGAATTTGTACTTCTATAGGACTTCATAGGATATGTACAAGTTAGTCTGGGTGAAATACTTGGGAGTGGAGGGAATGTACAACACTCACTCATCAGGAGGTAATAAATAAACATTTTAGCGAGAGAGACTCTTGGTTATAACAATGTTTATGCCAAAATATAAGTCAATCTTTGCCCTGCAGTTATCAGCTTTCGTGAATACATTAGTACATTCAAAATAAATTCAGATTAATTAATATAATAATTTTTAAATATGCTAAATGTGGCAATCTAAAATAATGGCAGCTGACTTAAAAAATAAATTTAGAATTTTTATTATATACTGGTAACGAATGTGTTTATCTGGAACACTGGAAAAGAACACCCATAGGCAGTGTTTCAGCACTTGGGTGATCTTTCGGTGCAGCCAAAACAAATACAGTAAAAAACAAAAAATATTGGACTTTGGTATGGTATTAAAGTATGACCTTACTATTATAAAAATAAATTGGTGCTCAAGATTTGACACTACTAAGTGTAAATCAAACTTAAATATAGCTGTATGTAAAATGAAAACAGATTTAGAATAGATTACAAATACACAAACATGGATGATTTTATAATATAGCTCTGTTGTTTTAGAAGCAATGATTGAATTCTTTTTTTTTTCAGTGGTCTTGCCAAGAATGCTGGTACTATCATTTTACAATGTGAAGAGTTATCTGACTGTAGGGTGAGTTGACATTAAGTGGGTTGTGACCACAGTGACTTTCCAGCCTCACAAAATAGCTACTAGCTTGTATGCAATGTCATCTACATATTAATCTCACTAGCTGTGAAAATATTCTCTGCACTTTCTGGTAATCAAATCTTCCATGTACATATGTCATACATTCATATTATATTTCAATATGTTAGATAATGAAGCAAAGTTTATATATATTATGGGCAACATACATAATTATAGAACTGGCAGTTTATATTAACGAAAGTGCCATTTTCTAAACCAGTGCCAACAGTATATTTATTTTCTTCGTTTCCTTTTTTGTTTCGTTTCTTAGAATAGCATTTGACTATGTTCTATTCAAAATGAATAATGTCAATAAAGTTATTATTAATAATAATAATTATTATATCACCAGCTTTTTTTTACTATTTATTTTTGTATTTAGGAACATAGTTTTCTGTTGCTATTTAATTTTTCTGAAAATTGACAAACGTTAATTAATTAAATTGGAATTCAACAAGTTAACAATGTATAAACTTTGACATATATAGAATATGACAGAACCCCCACACCCTCCCCGT